GGAGGGTCATTTTTCCCATGAGCCATGACAGGTACTTGCGTATGGAGAAGACAAATTCCCCAAATGTCGTCAGGACAAGTGCCAGGAGGGCAGGTGCATTACTGGCAGGGCCCTAACCCAGGTGCAGGTAAGGGGAGACCTTCCCGAGAAAGCCGCTTGGTGCTGAAATGTGCCTGCGGGGAGTTTGTTGGCCAGACCTGGTCTCTCTCCACCTCGACATTGTCTCTTTGGTTCCCGTTGAGAAGCCGTCAGTCATTTGCCCGCATTCCTTCCTCGGGGCCTCGGAGCAGAGACCTAGCTGACCCGTCTCACCCTCTCCGATCGGGCCGCAGACCCAGGGGCCTCTCTCACATCAAGTGCCCGCAGCAGGGCCACAGTCAGGGTTTCACTGAGACAGGAAGACGGGCTCGGGCAGGTCAGAGCACCGCCCGAAAAGGGCGCCTTCTGGCCCCACGTCCAACAACAGCCCTCGATGTGTCACAACACACCTCCCGCTGACCTCTCCCTCCCACTGCCCAGCTGGAAGGATTTTCTTTCTCTCGCTTCGTAAAGGCCTGGAGGGAAGGTGTGGTCCCCTTCACGTTGTTTTACAGTTAATTTCAGACAAATAAACAATTCCTCATAGACGTGTAGAGGCTTCGCGGAGACCCAGGGGGCCGGGGTGGTTGGAAAGTAACACCCTGAGTTATCCCTCCCTCGGGGGGCGCTGGGGGGGCAGAGGCTCTGGGGCCTCTTTTTCCTTTTGCCAAACCACTGTGACCTTGTTTCCCTAACACTCCAAACGGGGAGTCATTAAATCAGCCTTGTCTGTGGGGGACAGAAGGAGCTCGGATCCTGCACAAGTTCAAGAGGAAACTAGATGCTCGGCCAGTGGTGCTCAGTGGTTGCAGCGTCGGCCCTCGGACGGGAGGGTCCCTGGTTCGATTTCGGTCGGTCGAGGGCACGTACCTCGGCTGCAGGCTCGATCCCTGGCCTGACGTGGTGGCCGCCAGGGTGTCTCTCTCCCTCCCTCTCCCGTCCACTCTCTGAAACCAGTGGAGAAACAGCCTCGAGTCGGGATTTAAAAAAAAACAAAGAGGCAGCTAGAAACGTCCTCCTGCTCCTGGTCCGGGACTTACATTAAATGTTTCCGCCATGGGCTTCTTATGGACCCCTCTCGTTCACGGTAAGGGCAGGGACGTATGTTTTATATCAAGTCACCCTGGGTTTGTCTTTAACAACAAGGGGAGGCCCTGGGGCCAGAGTCTGTAAGGACAGGCAGACGGGCAGCTTGGACTTCGCCGGGCTGACTCCCCCGTGGGGATTTATGGCTTCTGCTGGGAAGGTGGACAGAGAGACAAGCAACGGAGCTCTCGTCGGGGAGCCGGGGACGGCTGATCTCTGCCACCCGCCCCCCCAGGCACAGGCATCTCGGGGCTCCCACAACCTTCGCATCAGCTTGAAGTCCCTGTCAACACAGCGACTAGACGCTGAACAGACTCCTGGTACCTTTGGATCCGACAGACCCTCTGAGCGTGTGCCCAGCACCAAAGGCCTCGCGTGCTCACATCTTGGAGCCTAGAGGCTTATCTTGTCTATTTGCTGGTCTCTCTGCTCAGTACTCTTTCCAAACTCAACGGCGGCCTCCTAAAGGGATGGAGATAAAAGGTTTAGGTGAGAAAGACAATCCCTCGATCTGATTTCTGCCACGGGATGGCCTCCCGCCTCTGGCCTGACGCTTAAATTGGCTGCGTGTGAGAACTACCCGAGGGCCTCTCCCGCCAGCCTCACAGCCACATCAGAAGTGCTTTAGTTTAAGGTGCATACAAAAGCTGTGTTTGTATTTTGTTTTGACTTTCCAGGCTCCTGGTTACCAGCTACTCAGCCAACTTGGAGCTGGGTGCAGCCAGAGCGGGGAGAGCGAGCGAGAGGCTAGACCTACCTCTGTTTCCCCTGCGAGCTGAGAGCCAGGGGCCTGAGCTCATCTTTCCTTCGGCTCAAAAAAGCATCACTCGGTACCCTGCACACCAGTGCTCAGGGCCTTCGTGATGTTTGCCCGGCGCTGCGGTGCTGGTCAAGATTTGCTCTGACCTCCAGGGCATCCTGCGCTCGGTTTTAGCAAATGCTCTGGAACAGCCCTGCAGGTTCCCAGCCAGGAATGTCCTCAACCCGTGGCCCAGCTCCAGGTGGCTCCGGGGGCGAATATCACACACCCAACATGTGCGAGGTGAAGACATCGCTTTCATGGGTCAGATTCTGCGGCGGTGGGGATAGTGCTGCTGTTAGTAACAGACACGCAAAATAAAGGTACTTACATAAGACAGAATTGTCTTTCTTTCTAAATAACACCTGAGGGGGGGGGGCCATCTCGCTTCCTGCATTTCCCAGGTCACCTGCTAGGAAGACAACTCGTCCCTCAGCTCAGGTGACAGCACTACGTGCTCTCCAGGGCAACCTGCTGATGAAATGAGATCATGGGCAAAACCTATTAAACAGCCTCTAGCATGTGCTCAATGTGCAAGACTCAGTTTTAACCCCAGTGGGTCATCTCATGTATATTTGTGTGGAGAAATACAATTGTTTCAAGCGAAATACTGCATGAAATGAGCTGGACACAAAGGAGCACGCGCCAAATGACTGCCTTTACGTGTCCTGCGAGAACAAGTGAAAACGGGGCCCACCCTCACGGTGGGGGCGCCTGCCCGGAGCAGGGGAGGCTGCAGAACTTCCCGGATACATAGTGTGCCAAGCTTGTAACAATGTATCGGGCTCTCCTCTTGTGAGCTATTTATGCACATGATACACTTTAATGAAAAGGGTTCTTGTTTTGTTTTGTGAATCCTCACTCGAGGATATTTTTTCCATTGACTTTTCAGGGAGAGGGAGGGAGGGAGTGAGAGAAACACCCATGTGAGAGAGACACATCGATGGGTGGCCTCCTGCACGGGCCCCAACTGGGGCCGGGATTGAACCTGCAACCCAGGAACCTGCCCTTGACTGGGAATCAAATCCAAGAGCCTCCGGTCCTCCAGCTGACGCTCTAACTACGGGGCCACGCCAGCCAAGAGCTCAGGAGAATTTTTTAACCATTTTTTAAAAAGTAAGCTATCAAGCCCTGGCCGGTGTGGCTCTGTCGTTAGAGTGAAGGGTACTGGGTTCGATTCCGGCCAAGAGCATGTACCTGGGTCGCAGGCTCGGCTCCGGTCGGGGTGTGTGCGGGAGGCAACCCATCGATGTCTCTCTCACATCGATGTTTCTCTCTCTCTCCTCCTTCCACTCTCTCTGAAAAGCAACAGAAAAAATATCGTCAGGTAAGGATTAAAAAATAAATGAAAAGTAGCCTCTCAAAGTTTCCAAAACTGCTTTTTAGGTTCACCACTAATCTCAGATACTCACGGGTCTTCCTGGAGAACTTTCTTTTCGTTGCCAACCTCAGGGAGAATTGGAGTTTTGTGTAACTGGCCTGTGTAGTTATTATTAGCCCAGCCGTTAGAGCCAGGTGGACCTGTGGGTGCTGGCCCGTGGGAGGTGGGTGCTGACCCGTGGGAGGCGGGTGCTGGCCTGTGGGTGGCGAGAATGGGCCACAGCTGAGTGCAGGCTTGAGTGCAGCTGGAGGGCTGCGAGGCAATCAGGATGCAGCCCATTTCCTTGGCGTCTGAGCCTCGGTTCTCCACGATGTCACTGGGTGTGGAAACTGGATCTAGTGAGTTGCGATCTTGGGCCGTTACTGACACTGGAACATTAATGTCAGTTCAGGAATAAGACCTTGAAACACAGATGGGAGAATCGGCTTCCTAGCCGCACCCCGACAGTCACACCCCGAGGAGAAAAGGGAGACTGACCCCTCATTTAGCGTGTGCCTCTAAGAGCGTCCGTTTGCTGACAGTGGGCTCATTGGAACCTCTCTCCTGCCAACGGGCACAGGAAGAAATGAAAATCCCTGGCAGGCCCCAGGGCGGTGGAGGGATCACAGTGGCCTTCAGTGGCCCGGCTGAAAGGAGAGCTTTGTCCAGGGCTCCAGTGGGCCTGAAACGCTCGCTTTGTAACTCAATGAAGGTGTGTGTTCCAGAAAGTCGGGGGTGGTTGGTGCGCACGCTGGGCCCCCACAGAGGAAGCTGGGGAAACGTCGCTAGAAAATTCATGATGCGGCCGCCAGCCTCCTGACTCAGGGCCTGAGTATCTTCATCCGGAGAAAATTCAGAGGGGAAAAAAGCTTTGAGCCTGAGCCACACGATCACGTGACCGCAGGAGACTTAGAATTAATTTGGGGTGAATTTTCTCAAAATGAAATGTACTGTTTTTTATGAGAAGGCTCCAGGGATTTAGTCACTTGTTGCGAGTAAATCCTGGGGGAAAGCGTGTGCATGTATTTGCTACCAATCCCTCAAGCATCCTTCTTGCTGACTGAACCTGGTGGGTCCCTCCCAGTGGAGGAAGCTGTCTGTCCCCCCGCAGGGGTTGCTTCCCTGTGGCCTCAAGATATCACCCTACAATCCCTTCCCACCCCCTCCTGGTGTCTTTTGGTTCTGTTCCTTTTAATTAAGAGTCGTAGATGGTTCTAGACACCTAGAGAAAAATCTGTAACCAGGTAGGACAGGTGCCTCAGTTGTTTAAACTCAAGGATTCCCTCCTGTAATCGCCCTGAATCTTCACTGTCACAGGCAGCTCAGAAGGTTGTTTCAAATATTTTGCAGAAGGGCCAGAAAATTACTTATTAAGGATTAAATTTATCAGGAGGTTGCAAAGTAAAATGATTGCAAGATCTAAAGATATTCATAGGATCAATTTCAATGGGCAGCACTAATTTATAATAAGAATTAAAATTATTCCAGTGTCCATTTCCAGCCCTGAAAACAAACAAACAAAAGGTAGAACTTGTATTTTCAAGCACTTAGTAGTCTGTGGATAAAAGATAAAGTCAGATTTGCAGTCAGACAGTGTCTTACCTGGGCACCGGGTGCTGTCAGCAGACACCTGAGCGTCCTCGAGGTGCTGACGGGTCCCAGGCATCCCGGCCACGTTTTCACCCTCGGCAATGACGATGCGCTTGATTGTAGGGCTTTTTGTAGGGAGGGTTCCACCTGCCGTCATAACAGAAAGCAAGCGGATGTGCTGCCTTCGGCTGCTGGCACAGAGCGTCCTGGGCACGGTCCAGACACCGCGCTGTCTGGAGTTAGATGTTTGTTTAGCATGAACGATGATCGGACGGCTTCTTGGTCCCCCGCTCGCCTCCTCACAGGCACTAAAGGAACCCGGGGGAACCTCCTCGGTTGTGTCTTCTGAAGTCCAGGATGCTGAGGAGACCCCGTGTTTGGTTCCCTTTGTTTCCGTTTTTGGGGATGGCCGTGGGAGGAAGCTAAGATGCAGGACCTTCCCCATTTCTTGTTATTATGATGCTGAGACCTTGCGTCTTGGTTTCCATTGATCTACCTGTAAAGGAGGGTGAGCAATGGGCCTGCCCACCTCAGAGAAGGGCCTTGGACCTCAGCTGTTACAGCCTGTGAAATGCTGTGAAGATAATAAACACTAATCTTTATTTAATCAACTAGGCAAGACGACAATTAAATGAAAGAAGGGAATGTGCCTCGCAGCAATGTATTAATGGAGTTTTTGCAGCTCAAACCCACAGAGACCTACACTTAAAATACAGTCTTCGTAATCTGCCCTATCGATGTGATAAAGTGAGGCTTTGGGCTCCCAATTCCTTGTTTATCTCAACTGCTTAAATTCAATTACTTTAATTAAAACTGCACTGGGAATGCATCTTCCAATTTAGACTTTCAGAGGCCATCGGGGGTTTTGTTCTATCACATCCCTTTCGTGTTACCCTGCTTAAAGAATAATCACTTAATTCTCTCAACAGTAAAAAGCAATTTTTTCTTCTTAAATTAATAGCTATTTCTTCAACAAACAAGTCATAACCCAGAGCTGCTCACAAAACTAGCAGTTGGTAAGTGAACTGTGGCTGGAGATACTTTATAACCATTTCAGCTCTGAAATCTGCCCTGACCTTTTGCTTGAGACATAAAGAGACATGATATTGTAACAAAAAGACATATTGTAATTCAATAAAGAGAGTAGCAAATAGTAGGTAGACACCAACTGGGTCCATTTAGCATTTCCATGGTGACCGAAGAAGTGACCTGTAGGCTAATGTATTTTGAGGGGCTTAAGGAATAGGACAGCAGTGGGGAACCCCAAACCTGGTAACTACCCCCACAGGAATAAATGGGGGTGATTGTGATGACTCTCACACATCCACCCTTCGCTCAGTCATTCCAGATACTGTGAACTACCCAGCCAAGGGGAGACCTATCCTGCCTCAAGGCCACGGCCTCCCTCCCTCCCTCTCCATTTTTCTTTCTTTTTTCCATTTATATTTTGATATAATTTCAGAGTTAGGGAACAAAATCAAGGATAATATAAGGAGCTCCTATATGCCCTTAATGAGGAACAGGGAGAGGATTACCTGACATCTGCCCTATCAGACATTGGAAGTACAGACACTCCATGCTGTTAACAAAGTCCATGGGATTGAAATATGAATAATTCTTATTATTCACATAATTTTAAAACTGTGTGATAATGACACTAAGAAAATATAAGCCAAGTAGCTCCTGCTATACTAGGTTCTATAATTAAGAGTCTGCAAAATGTCACCCTTTTTTAAAATACTAATTTGTTTCCTCTCTCCATTCTGATTATTCTGACTGGTATTTTCAAGTTATTTTAAGGAAATTAATTTTTAAAATAACTGGTTCTGACTGGGGTGAGAGTTAGAGATCAGCTTAGATTTTCCTTAATTAGATGCTGGAGATGGTCTGTTCCTCTACGGATGTAGTAATTATTTCTTCCTTAGGAAGGCATAGGTGTGCTCTGGGCTGGCGATGAGGCGGAATAGATGGAACCTTCAAAATAATTTCATTCACAGTGACACCAACAGCAGTGCTTAGTTTATAAATGTAACCCACCCAGGTGGCCTTGGGATTTTTAAATTGCAAAGCTCCAGAGAGAAAGGAAAGAACGTCGGACTGTGAAACGAGAGCACAGAAAATAAGAAATAGTGTGACATACGGGATATTTGAGATGAAACTATAAACATGTGCAACAGAGAAGGAGAGAGAATCTTGGAAGTTCTCAGACAAGGAAGAGACTATTCACTTACCGATCAAGTCAAGGAGGGAACCGAAAGAAGGGTCAGTGGGCAACACAGAAACAGTGATGAACTGAAGGGCCCTCGAGCAGGGTTCAGGCAGAACAGCCTTTAGCCAAGTCCAGTCCCTGGCCAAGGCCTGGGGAGTGGGCGCTCTGCCCTGGAGCTGCTTTCTGAGCAAGTCTGGCCC